GATCCATGTGTTTGTGTGCTTAGAGCTGACAAAATCAGCTGCTTATTTCATTGACTGAAAACAGATATAGAGAAATACCTGCTTATCCAATGAATAATTCATCAGTGAAAGAAAGTGCTGCAAGATAGTATTTGGGACAAAAACTGCATAATGTTAGTCTCCACGAGTCAATCTGCTACCTCTAAAGTTAAAGGAGGGGATCCCTGCTGACTGTCTTCTCTCCAGAAAAAAAAAAAAACCGAAAGAAAAACTCTGCTCTTAACACTGTCTGCATTTAGAAACAGCCTACATTTTAAGTAATTAAAACTGATGATCCTGACAAACATTCGCCTCCAAAGAAATAGTCTGTTGTAAACGTAAACTCTCAAGATCCTTCCAGGCATACCAGTACAACTGTCTCCTAAAAATTCTTCCGAAGCCATCTGGTGCCTTATCTTTGTAGCCAAGCCATACAATAACTTTAAAGGAGGATTGTTGCTGGCAGGCTTTAGTGCCAGGTCTACAGATTCCCTTGGAAGTATCACAGTGAGCTCTGAACCCATCAGCCGGCCAGCTCAGGCTGTGGGAATTCTCCACTTCTTCCTATCGCGACCCAAAATGTCCAGCTGGGGTTCTTCAGGGAGATCCCTTTCTCATGCGGTTTGCGGAGGGAGTGAAGGAGTTACAGGGAGAAGCTGGAGTCACTGTGCACTTCCAAACAGGGATTTACACTCCATTAATTCTCTCTACGGCGGCCCAGCCTGAGTGGCATGACATGAATGTGGTTACGAAGGCTGCAGCCAATTCACTTCATCCGGGTAGCTCTCCCCGCACCTGCGAGGGGAACGAACGGATTCCAGGTTTGCTCCTGCACAGCCTTTGCCATCAAAAAAAACATATTCAGTGAGAGAGAAGGCAGGCAGGCGTGGAGCAGAGGTGGCTGATGGAAACAGCTGGGAAGGAGAGGACAACTCTGTTTCAGCTTTGCAGATCAGCCAGAGTTTGCACTCCCTCGGTTGAATCCCATTACTTCTGAGCCTGTTCTTTAACATCTGACCTAAGCTCCCCCACGTAAGAAACACCGAATTCCTCCTGTTAAGTGCCCTTTTTCAGTTGCCAGTGAAGTTCAGCAACAAAGCCAAGGTTGCAGGTGCCTGACAGCAAAGCAGTGATCCAGGCGCAAACCTGGCGTGAGGGACCCTGTGTTAGCTGTGCCCAACGCTCCGGCGGGGCGACAGCCATCGTGAGAAACCGGCAGGGTGTTGCAGGGAGCGTGGCTGAAAATAGAATTTGCTCACCGCTCGCTCATCCAGGGCAAACACAACATAGTTGGGGAGAGACCAAATTCCTTGTTAGGTTTTTGTCACATGTTTATATGCCAACTCTCCACTGCCCAAGCATCCCCGGTCCATTCTTCAGTGCTGCCTTCAGAGGAAAAAAGGAAACTGGGTGCAAGAGTGTAGGAGCATGTGTAGGAGGAGAGCTCCTTCCTCAGCGTACCCTGCGCTCCGCAAGCTGGAGGCTTGCTCGAAGTTGCATCTGCAGCACCACATTTAAGCAGTGTCTCTTACTCCTTTAGCATCCAGGGAAGCAATCCCACGTTGCTGCCTTGGTCTGGTGCGTGTTCTGGCCATAGTCATGATGTGATACCAGCAGTTGTACTGAGTGATGGAGCTACCATTAGGTTATTTTCTCCTTCCCCATGCCAGTCTGTACGGGCAACCCTCAGCTACCTGGGCGACATTTTAAAGCGCTCTGGATTTTGGTGATGCACCTGAGGGAAGCAAAGCTATTTTTCAGAGTCAAAGAGAAATGCTTTTTCGAGCTGTTGCATCTTGGTAAAGAAACATCGAGTGGTATATATGCTTGTCAGGTGGATATTAATGAGCATGATGTGATGCTGTAAACTAGCTCCTGGAAATGACAGAGAGGCACTTCTCCAAGTCAGTGAAAGTTTTGTTGATGAATTTTGACAGGAGTTGGATTAGGCCTAAAACATTCATGGTTTTTAGCTATTGACCTTTTTTTTGATGCTTTTATAACTGGTACTGACTTCCAATCACTTTATACAAATACAACAACATCGTAAAGACTTCCCCCAGGGAGATGTCTTTTCTTTTAGCTGGCTACCTTGTGACACTCCCAGGGAAATCAAACAGTTTAGGGAAAAAGAAGTTGGTATCTGTAAAGCTGCCTAGCTTTTTTCCTACTCTAATGGGTATTTGTATTTTATTATCTCTGGAAACCGTCTACTATTTGGGGAAAGAATGAAAACAACCCTCCTAAAATAGAGTTTTACAGTTTAATGATCCTTGCACTGAAATATTACGTTGCACGCTTACACTGCATGCAGGCTCGAGTGGGAGGGTGGAACTGCTCACAGGGTCTGAGCTCCATGACTCCGTGTCCTTTGCCAAATCAACCATCTCGGTCTCCTCCTCATAAGGTGATGGTGATGCCTCGCAGAGCTGTTATGATAATTAGTTTATACGAATAACAGCACATTGCTCGAGGGGTAAAGCTTTTTGTACCTGCAGAACTTCCCACATTCCCAGGTTGCCTTTTAGTGTGGGATTACAGAACATCTGCTCTGTTTAGTCCTCGTAGTAATACTGTTCATGTTTTGGCAAAGGCACCTGGAACACAGCATAGATGCACATGTACATAATACCAGAAGACAAAAGGAGTGTATTCAGGTCCTGTTTGATTTATAGCGTGTCAAACACAAAGGATAAACCAATATAATGTTTAGCTTGATGGCTTAATTTGCACAAAAATGGGAAGATCCAGAATTAAGTGTTTCTTGGCTGCTTTAGGGCCTGTCCCAGATCGCTGCCTGTAGTCAAAAGGGTAGGAGATGGGGTCTATAAATGCTTGTCAGGCCAAAGGAACTGCCAGGCTGCAGGGAGACCCAGAGCTATGCATTTTCCCCAGCGCAGATAAGAGGTGTAAGCAACAGGAGCAGCGTGCGAACAGTCTGCAGCAATGCTGGGAGCAGGGGAGGGGTGAGCTGGAACCAGCAGTTTTAAGTGGAAAGCCTCAAGGGATCATTATGTCTATCCGTGCTGACCTGAAGCCGAAAATCCCACACATTTGCAGCATCTACGTGGGCTTTGCTGTTCCTCCCACCCAGTCCCTAGTTCCTACTCATGTATCTGTTTTCCAGGGTCAAAGTTGTTTGAGGCAAACTGAGAGCCAGTTTCCTTGCATGTGAGTGGAGCAACATGAGAAACTTGTTTGCTTTTCCTCCTTCACCTTCTGTTCTCAAGTGGTGGTTCCCCACCCAGGCAAGGAGCAGGCACCATGTCTGCAAGGACAGGGTTATACTTGTGTTTCTCAGCTCGCGCCCTTGTGCGGAAGGCTGGCTCCCACGGGACACAGCTCCTGCAGCAATGCACTGGCTGGGAAGACATTTGAGTTGCACAGTTTGACCCAGGACCAAGCTGAAGGACATCTGGGTCTTAGTTGCTTGGGTGACCTTGGATTAATCACTTCAACGTTCACAGCTCGGTATTCAAGGGACTAGGATGGGACCAAGAGTTTAGTTTTGCTCTGCAGCATCCTGGCACATCATTTCCCGTCGCCTTCTGCCACCAGCCCTAAAATGAGGACCCAGGATATGGGATATGGCTGTGCTGGCATTGGTGTGAATGGCAGGGACCCCTTCCCAGCCTCCCCGTCACCAGAGGAGCAAACCCCCAACCAGCCAAGCAATTCAGACCTCGATGGCAGCAGCACGCTACGCAGGGCACGGCTCGGGGTAAGAACAGAGCCCCATGGAGGAAGCAGGAGCTTAAACGCCTACTGTAGACACATTAAACTGTATATTTAGATCCTTTTAACCAGGCTCAAAAAGAGTTGGCTGGGCACAGATAACAAGTTTGAAAATTAAGTATACGCTAAGAACTTGCAAGTCTCAGCCCCTCCAAACAAATGCAAAAGGCTGAAAACAACTTAAAAACCCAGCCTTGACACAACTGCTGCAAATGTCCTTTCGAGAGAAGCCTTTACAGGAGCAGAACAGCTTCCTAAACTGAAAGGCAGCAAAGAGTAGGGTCCTTGTTACCAGCATAGGCAGATGAGCAAGAGAGGCTGAAATCCAGCCAGCAAGCAGTCGCCTGTTGGAAGGGAATGAAATCTTTCACTTTCTGACCACACAGATTACATGCGAGGAGAAAATGTTTGCTGTCTTCGGTTATCTCGTGGCATTGAAGAGCAACCATCAAAGGGAAACGGTCTGCCTTCTGGGATAATCACTGGGCAAGACAGTGGCTACAGCAGATAAAGGAAGATGACGCTCACCCAGAGAGGCTGAGCGGCAGAGAACAAAGCTTAGTGACTGGGGATTGCCCTCACCTATGGGGAAAAGGAAACGCTAACCAGGGTGGAAAGCAGAGCAAAAAACGCAGGAAACGTGGGTTGAGCGTACGCTTGCAGCAGGTGTGCATCGCCTTAGATTTCCTACTGAAGCTCTGCTGTTGTGGTCAAGTTCTTATTTTGTAGTTTACAGAAGAGGCGTTTGCAGCTCAATTTTTGCAGTATTTACATAGGCAAAAATCCCAGTGTTCAAAGGGGATTTTTCCATGCGTAGGTATGGGCTCTTCGGGGTTACTTTTGACTGGGTGAGGACTTGGAGTCTGCACAATTGCCATACCGTAAGCATTAACAGATCCTTGCTAACAGGAAAGTTATTTGAATTTAAGGTTGTAGCTTGGTTTCTCTGAACTCCACATAATCTATTTACTTACGCTACAGCTTTCCTTCTGCACTTCCTAATCTCCAGCTGCGAAGATTCAGAATGCTGCACAACGTACGACTTTTAGGTATATCAATGGAAAAGGCATTGTAAGTAATGCCATGCTCCTACAACACGTCTCGTGCCGTTGCAAAGCCGGGATTTGGTCCCGGGAGCACTTCAGTCCACTCCCAACTCTGTCCCATAATTGAGACCTGATTAGTCCCTCTGTGGGTCAGCACCTCTCTTCTGAAAGATGGAGGGGTTTTGTTTCTTGCCTACGCTCATGCCTGTACGTGCCAAGGGCTCGGATCAGTGAGCGAGCCCGTGAGGATGCTCCTCCACAAGACAGCCTCACTCCATTCAGCTCAGCGCCAGTAAGAAAAGGGTCCTACCCACCCAAGTCACAGCCATGTGCCACTTCTTCTCACCCTGTGCCGGCTTCTGAGCTCCTTTGAACCCCATCTCGGAGCTAAATTAACTGGTTACCTTGCAGGAAACTAAGGAAAAAACCCACAGCTTTGGTAGGTTTTCCTGTGTCGGTGAACTGAAGAGGAGCGGGGCAGCTCCCACCAGCACCAGACATGGTGTAAGGGGATGCTGAGACTGGGAGCGGTGGGATGCGGGCGCTTGTGAAACGGGGACGGCGGCTGCCCTGGGGCACTCCGCAACCCAGATAAAACAGCAGCGGACCTGTTTCCCAACACCGTCCTGATCCAAGCACGAGGAGACGAGCAAAGGCTGCACCCCTCTCCCCCGGGACAGGCAGGACTAGCTCCACGTAAGCCTCCTCCCCTCCCCTCTGACTCAGCTCTAATGCTATGCTCAGCTTTTCACTCTCTCCTTCCTCAGGCACCTCGGCTCACTGTTCTTCGCTCCCCCTTTGCTGACCGGCAGCTTGATATCGCTCAACACGCCCAACTGGCAGCCCCGGCACTCCCGGGATACGTGTCCGCACCCACCGGAGCGCGGGACACGGCCTCTCCCTCCCCGCACGGAAGTTGTGGGAGGGCGCTGGAAGACTGTCTGGGGTTCTGTAACGTACAGGGTGCTCCCACCAGCCTGGTGAAGCAGCACGGCAGCTCGGGGAGCAGACATTACTCCTGCTCCAAGTCATTTATTTGATGATGAGACAGAGGAAGCCTGAAGGAAAGAATCAGAGTGAGAAAACTCGCCTGGAGGGAAGCCTGGGCTAGGGTGTGATGATGTTACAAGATTTCTTTTTATTCCTCGACCAGCCCGAGGACCTCAGCGACTTTTCTGACTCCATCAGGACCCAGTTCAGTGTGGGATGGGTGGGGATGCCACGCTTTCATGCCAAGCGTGGCAGCCCCAGCAGGCTTTGCAGATTGAAGTTGTTTTAGAATAGTTCTGTCTTGCTCCTCTTCTGACGATTTCTTTCTTAGTGTGTGTGCATGAGCAAGCAATTAGCTGCAAGGATAGGAAGACGTTACTGTGCAGGCCCTTTGCAGCACTAACAGCAACTCTGGTTCAGGTTCGCTCGTAAACAGGTGAGCGCATGGAGATACAACCATGTTCGGTTGGGGGGGAGCCCCCCCTGCCAGTAGATGACGCCTACAAGAATGGGCACGTCATGGCTCCTACGCACCCACGGTGGAAGCAGGGAGACACCTCCGCTTCCCAGAACTCGGGGACCATCGGGCAGCCGTGGCCGTGCTCACGCCAGCCGTAAGGCTGGACTCCGTGAGAAGCCCCACCACCACTGTCGGAGCTGACTGCACGTGAGGCAACCCAGTTCTGGAAGCATCCCAGCTTTGCCAAGCTCCCGAAGCCAACATGGCTGAGTTACCTTCTTGTGAGCATCTGAGACTCAAATGAAACGTGGTTTGTAAGCGTGGGCACAATGCCATGCTGGGAGGTTATGTGCCATTACGCCTTGCCCTCAAGGTGTGCCGACTCGGGTCTCCACCAACGCGGAGGTTCCTGCACCGCGCTCTGCCGTGCGAAGCTGCCGCCGAGGGCCTGCCCAGCAGCCCTGGCCATCTCAGTTGGACACGTGGCTTCGCAGGTGATGCTTTGCTTACCTCAACTTCTATACTCATTGTATAAAATTAATAATTTACTGCTAATGGTTGAGGTTTGTAGGGCTTCACCAGTTAGTTTTGAAAAGCCTAGAGGTGCTGTTTTGCCCAGAAGTGGATTCTGAACTGATTTTTTTTTTTAAAGTTTTCCCTTTCTACAGCAAATACTGAAATTTCTGCTCTTTGTCCTGAAGTTAAGAAAGTACAGAACTTTGAAAATTTCTATGCAAGTGTAAATCCAAACTTCCAACCATCTATTTGCTTCTGCATTGCCTACAGGCTTTAAATGTCATTGCACTTTTCCTCATTTTGAAAAAAAAACCAAACAAAAACAAAACCAAGCTTTTGGGTTTTGGTTTGAGGAAGGGTAGAAGGCAATGCCTAATTGCATTTAGGTCTGAAGGATGTCTTAAATTTTTGTAGAAAACTTCCAAATTGCAAAACAAACTCAGAGAAGGAAATAATCTGTCTTTTTCCCTCAGGGTGCCTGCAAACTGCACAACATAAAAACAACCCTAAACACAAGTTGCTTCCAGCGCCTCGGGTATGAGAAACGCCGATGAAAACAACTGCCGTAGGAAGTGTCACGCCGGGGATTCTTCGATTGTCGGTACGCTCCTTCGAGCTGCCTTTAAAAACAAAAACGGGGGGAAAAATGGGAAGAACATCAATTATGTAAGGAAACTCGGCTGTCCTCCCGGTGAGTGACCAAGCTGCTCTTCCCCCCCTTGACCCCGCAGATGGGGCAGCGGCCGGGGCCGCTCCGCCCGGGTCCCTTCGCGTTTC